CCTGAATCACATAGGTAAAAGCATTTTACATCAGCGAGCATCAGCACAGGTGATCCTTGGTACCAGTGTGAAAACCTGCAGTGTTTCCGACAGTGGCTTTTGCTTTTCTTCAGGGCAAATTTAGTATCTCCTCATTGCAGGGACCTCAGGGCTTGGGTGCAGCCCCTATCTCCTGCCCTGTATTTCCTTCAATCCCCTGAACCTGTTCTGAGAAAGGAACTGCATAGCTCATTTTCACAGCAGCTTCCTTTCCTGGTTGGGGTGCAGTAGAGTTGGCCAGTTGATACCCGTCACTTCATCAAAAGACAAACTTAGGCATGTTGGGCCATGGTCTAACAATAGTGATTTTTCCATCTTTTTTATTTTTGTTTGACTTAACTTTATTGAGATATAATTTTTACACTATAGAACACACATGTTTCAAGTGTGAAGTTCAATGAGTTTTGTAAGTAACCCCCCAATTGAGATACAGAACATTTCCATCACCCCAGAAATTTCCTTCTTCCTTCCCTCCCTTTCTTCCTTCCCTCCCTCTCTCGCTCCCTCCCTTCCTTCTTTCCTTCCTTCCTTTCATAGTGGGGTTTGAACTCAGGGCTTAGTGCTTGCTAGGTGGGCGCTCTACCACTTGAGCCACACCTCTGGCCTTTTTTGCTCTGGTTATTTTGGAGATAGAGTCTCACTTCTTGCCCAGGTCAGCCTGGACCGAGATCCTCCTATTTTATGCTTCCTGCTGTTGCTAGGATGACAGGCACAAACCACCACGCCCAGCTTTTTTCTACTGAGATGGGGTCTTGCAATCTTTTTTGCCCAGGTGGGCCTGAAACCTCAATCCTCCTGATCTCAGCCTCCTGTGCAGCTAGAATGACAGGTATGAGCCACAGGTTCTCAGCTATGGCTCCGTTTTCTGATGTTGGAAGTGAGGTTTGCTTTTTCTGAAGCCTTATGCGAGTGAAGTCTTACAGCGGGTCCTCTTTGAGTAGGTCTTTCACTGAACATAATGGATTTTGAGATTTATCCATATCGAGGCTGATTTCTTGTCATGACTGATTACTATTCCATTGTCTGGATATACGACAATTTATTCACCCATTCATGGTCACTTGTGTTGTTGGTTTCTTTTTTAATTTTTAGAATTAGTCATCAGTGCTTATCCTTCTTAAGTACCAGGAGCTAGGGCACCAGTGGCTCACACTTGTAATCCTAGCTACTCAGGAGGCAGAGATCAGGAGGATTGTGGTTCAAAGCCAGCACAGGCAAATAGGTCTCAAGACCCTATCTCAAAAACACCCATCACAAAAAAGGGTTGGTGTAGTGGCCCTGAGTTTAAACCCCAGTACCACAAAAAAAAAAAAGTGCCAGGATCTGAGCTAAGCATGGGAACACTGCATGACTGCCACTACCACTCACACTGACAGGAAAAATAGCAGACAGATAGAGGTTTCTGACACTTGTTACTGTACATTTTTTAACCCAGGCGACTCTTCCCCTCCACTCTATTGGTGGGTCACGGCACAGAGGGATGGTGGATGCAGGAACAGCCATGAAGACCTAGCATGCCAGCTGTCTGGCTGGGACTTTTATTTGTGGTGGCCCCTCAGGTTGGTGTGGGTGATTTTTAGATCAAGTGTCAACATGGTTGCCCCTGTTTTAGGAAGGAACAAGGATGCTCAGGGCTCTTGTTGGTGGCGGGTTTTAGCCTAGTGGCTGAACTAATTTGCTACGTACTAGTTAGAAAACTGAGCTCTGCAGGGACTCCAAGTGTGGGGTCACACTTGCTTGGGTAATCCTTGTCCCCGTTCCCTCCAGTCTAATAAAGCAATGTGGGCCACTGGGCAGGTCACTTCAGAAGACATCAGAACTGGGTAGCACTGTATCCGGGCCTCTCTGAACACACAGTGCAATACTAAATCCAATTACAAGCACTGCTGGAAAAAGAAAGCCAAGCCTTGTGTTTCTTGAACATCCCGGTCCCCAAATGCAAAAGAACCACTTCATCAGGGAAGAAACAGCCAGGTCTGTGTTCCCGGAGATAAAAGTGTCTGGGTGGAACAGACACTTCCACCCAGGAAGAGACTGTATGGAATTTCCTAACTGTGGCTTTGTGCTTGATGCTAGCTTAAAATAATCTCTAAGGGTAACATTGACAACACAGGAATTTCACCTTGGGCTAGCTCTCCACAGAGCCCTTCCCCCTAGAAATGTTCCTGCACTTTCATCACTCCTTTGATCCTCACACCCACCTGGAGGCTTGCAGGGCAGCTCCTGGTGTTCCAGGAGCATGGGATACTGAAGCTCAGAGCTAATGAGGGACCAGGGCTAGGGTGAAAGGCAAGCTAAGTTGTCCCAAGCACAGTGGGGGACAGTCTTATTGCAAACGTTGCTATTTTACCAATCATAGAATTTTGCACTAATTTTGATTTTTTTAAAAAATATTGCATTAAGGCAGGTGCCCATGGCTCACACCTGTATTCTTAGCTACTTGAGAGGCTGAGCTTGAGAGGATTACAATTCGAGGCCAGCCTGGGCAAATAGTTCACAAAAACCTCATCTCCAAAAATAACCACGGCAAAATGGGCTGGAGGTGTGGCTCAAGCAGTACAGTGTCTGCTTTCCAAGATTGAAGCTCTGAGTTCAAACCCCAGTCCCACTAAAAAAACAAATATTGCATTACAATATTATTTTTCTTGATGACAGTCATCTGCCTTCAAAGCTGGCACCCTGGCCTCATCCTGATCCTGTCCTAGTCCCAGACTCTGCAGGTGTGTGTGTATGTTAGTGGTGGGGGAAGTGGATTAGCTGGAGTTACTTGACGTATCCATTTGTTACCTGTGAAAAAAGGGTGAACACCAGATATTTCATGTGATTCTAGTAATGGATCCTCCAGGGTGGAGATGAAGGTGGAGGGCACCCGTGGTCTTAGCTATATGAGAACTGCTCAGCGGTCCTCAGCCTGGCCACACATTAGAGCCACTCAGGGGACTTACTAAGACCAGAGCCTCAGGCTGGAGGTGGGGAACTGGCTAATGTGTTTTCCAAAGCCTTCTCTAGAGTTCAGGATTGAGTCCTGGATGAAACCAGAATTAAACCAAGCTGTAGAAGCAGGGGGTCCTGGATTCAAATTCTGACACAGCCCCTTTTAACCGCAGGTTACAAGTTGTCATGAGTGCCGATTAATGTTTGTAAATGCCTGGCTCTGTGCCTGGTGTAACAAATTCTGGACAACAGCAAATACTCTAGGAGATATGCTTGGTGCTGTGGTTCAGAGAAGTTGAGAAAGTCAACCAAAATCACACAGTCAGTTCATGAAAGAGTTGTGTCTCATTAGCCCACAATATTTTCCAGTGAGTCCCCTTCTGGCCCCCAAGGGGATCGCACTGAGCTGAGAAGGCCCTGGGAGCACAGGGAGCAGGATCCTTTGCTGAGGTGTTTCCCTCCTGTGGGGGGAGCCCCTGCAGCCTCAGCTACCCAGCACTGCCTGCCCCAAGCTTTATCAGAACCTGCCAGCTGCCTTCACTTCCTCATGCCCAACTCCCCCTTTTCCCCCTTTCTGTTCCAGCTGTGGCTCCTGTGCCCTCTGCTAAGACCAGTGACTTCCTCGATGTTGAAACTGTGGACCTCTGTCTCCCAAGGGACTGTCAGTAACTCATTCTCATTCAGTTTTCACTTTCTGCCATGCCACAGGCCAAAGAAAGTGATTTGCCCTGGCCTGGCCTCATTTCTACCCACTCTTCTCCTTACCTCTTCTGTCTCAGAGTTCTGCCTCCAGCTCTCCTGCCTCTATAAGGCTGAACTTCTCTTTCCTACTTGGAAAGTCCTCTCCTTATCCTGATCTCCTGGTCAACCCCAGCCATCCCTCTAAGCCTACCTCCTCAATTCACATAGGGAGATCTTTTGTGATATGCCCACCTTTCCCTGTATCCAGGCACCCTGTCTCTCAGGTGCATCAGTCACCGCTGCACTTCACATCCTGTGATTTCATTGTGCACACATCTGTCTTGCATACTGGACTGGGAGCATCCTTAAGGCAAAGGCTTAATGAAACCAGCAGATTCGTGATGTCTCTAGAGAATAAAAACAAGCCCAGATGCAGCCTTAGCCACCTTATGTGATTTAACTCATTTAACACTCACAACGATAACTAGCATCTTACTTATTTTATAAATGAGGAAGATGAGGCCCTCAGAGCTCGAGTGGCTTGCCCACGGTCACACAGCTGCTATGTGCAAGAGGCGGAATGCGAAGTGGCCATTCTAGCTCTCCACCTGTGTCTTAGCCATCGTGCTACACAACATCCTGGTAGGGATGCCTGACATGAGAGAGAGACTTGAAGAGGGTCCTTTCCTTCAGGGAGCTCAGATCTTGCTGGGCCAGAGCAAGCACTCGATCGATGTACACACAGGCTCACACATGTGCATAGAGCAGGGAAGCACAACTAGGTGCTGATGTGTGCCACTGAGCAGTACTTTTTAAACACTAACGTGAACATCAGCCACCTGGGAGCTAAGACTTTGCATGTCTCACAAATGATGCTAACTAATGCTGCCAGCCCAGGGACCAGACTTTGAGTAGCAAGGATGAACTCTAAATGTTGAAGTAGGTCTGAGAAGGGGGACTTCAGTGTGGGCTGGGGAGGTCCTGGGACAGCCAGCTGGGTCTGGGACAAAGGCAAGGCTTGATCAGGCAGATGGAGGAAGACAGCTGTACCACCCCCCATGTCACCTAGGGGCTTGGGAGCAAAGGATGCTCCCCCACGCCCCTCGGCTCCCCTCACAAGCAGCTGCATGAAGCAGGCACTCCATAACGGTGTAACCAAATCCTGATCACATCAGGAAACATTTTGCAAATTCAGAAGTCAGAGCCAAAGGGAAGTCCGGTATGGTCTCTAGCTAGCTGTCGCGGTTAAATGGGAGTGAGCGCTTCCTCCTAAGGAGGCATTTCTGCTGGCTCCAGGGCTTTGGCCACCTATAAAGCTTAGCAATGGGGAATAAGGAAACCTCCAAAGAGGAAGAGTTCCTGGGGAGTGCTGAAGAAGTAGCAACTTTTGGTCAAACCATGTTTGCTGTGGCAGACACCCTCGAAATCAGTGGTAAGGTCCTTCTCCCCCATAATGGGATTCCCCAGAAACCGAGCCTTTCTCCTGGGAGATGTAAGAAGTGACAAGTGGTAGAAAGTCTGGGTGTGCACCATTGTGGGTTCTGCACCTGACTCTCCCTAATGCACATCTGGAGTGCATCAGGCTGGAATTTCTGGAATGTTAATCGATGCTGTATCTTTAGCATCTAGTTGGTTTTTTGTTTTATGTTTCATCGTTCCTTAAATCATATTTAAATATTTTCCCTTGGGTAAATGTTGGAGCTTATTGAATGCTTAATGGGTGTCTTATTCCTTTGCATTGAAAGTGTTAAGTTGATAGTAGCATGTTCCCATTTCATATGGACTAGGTTGTGTTCGCCGCTCCTAATTAGTCTGTCTTAGATTGAACCGAGGTCTTAAAAATGCAGTTGACCCTGTCTTTATTTTTTTCTCAGGTTATCCAGGTGATACAATTTTAAAGCTCTGCAGCATTTAACGTCAGGGGCAGACTTGCTTCCCTAGGTGAACTCTGATTTCCCATTCTAGAACATTCTCCTGGAATCATTTTCCAAGGGGATTAGCCATTCCCACTCCTAGGCTTTTCTGGAAGTTGTGTATGTGGGAACAATAGCATCTCTGGGTGTCTCCCTCTCACACAGCATCTGTCTGTAAAGGTCCCTGGCTGGAACTGATGGGGGTACAAGTATGGAAAGTGTGGAGTCCTGCTTCTAGGAATTTATGGTATTTGTAGTGTGATAACAGAGGAAGGCATGTGTATGGATGACTGGAATCATTGTTGCTCATTCCGAACTGCTCAGAAGGTAGTGTTTTGGCTATGTGACTTTTTTAAGAAACAGAAAATGTTCTAGAAAATCTAGCTGATTAAACATATTCAGTCTGCTGGGCACCACCTCAACCCCAAGAAAGGAACTGAATAAATATGGTAGCTAGCCTCGAGGAGCCCACACTTGATGGTGTGTCAGGGCATGCTGTTCCCCCCACCATCCCTATAAGCTGATCTTTGCTATACAGCTTGTCTTTAGCTGTGACTGAGATTTTCACAGCACATCATGGAAATATCTAACCAGGTATGAGGCCTGGAGGTCAGAGCTGACACCTCTTCCAAAGTTTAAAGGATAAAAGGGTTAGTTAGAGAGAGAAGAGGTGGATGACACACATGTCTGTATTATATTCACAAGGAATATTCCTAGAAACACAAATAGCTCCATACTATTGGTCAAAATTGGGAGAGAGGCTCAGTGGGCTTGAGGTTGGAACCAGAGAATGTAAATTTCCTGCTGAGGGATGAAACTGGAGAAGCTGGAGAGGCTGAAGTGGAGCTGGGAGTCACTCACTCGCTCACAGCCCAGCTCACTCACTGTGGACTCAGGGATATTTGCTAGGAAGAGCAGGTGAGCTCAGAGGAGAATGGCAGCAAGGGATGATGGGGCATGAGTTGGAAGGAAGGAAAAGAGAGAATGCCCTGGGGAGATTTTGGAAGACAGATCAGTAGGACTGAAATGAGGGAAGGGGGGAAGAGCAGGTGAGGGAGGATCAAGGGCCAATGGCAAATCCCAGATTTTGGACATGGGTTGTGTGTGCCATAACCTGAAATTTTAACAAAAGAAAGCATCACCAGTCAATGGTGAAACATTTTTCCTAAATGTTTCTAATACCTTCTAAGACAACAATTAGGGAACACATGGAACTTTCTAGATGAGCGCCATTATGAACGGCAACCACTGTGAGGTTCTGCAACATAGCAACCCTCAGGCTTACTTTAATGAATAAAACCACTTCTCAGTACTGAGAGACTCCAGGCATCTTCATCTATTTGTATTATGTCTGCTAAAGAGTTCCTTCCTGCTTTCTTTTCTTCCTTCTTCTTTCTTTCCTTCCTTCCCTCCTTTCTTTCCTTCCTTTCCTCCTTCTGTCATATTTGTTTTACTTCTGAAAAAACACTGTTTTAAATTTGCCAAAAATATGACTGAAAAGCATTTGTAATGTCAAGTTCTCATTTATTTTTCTGTTGTTCCCAGTATTAAGATATAAAATGCTGCCATCCCCTGCTCAATAAAAAATTGAACTTGTTTTATTTAACTATTTGGAGATACCAGGGAGATGTTTTAGCCAGGCACTGCAGAAACTTTTAGAAGTGAGCTAGAGATACTTTTGAAATATTCCCATTTTTCTCTAAAATTAACCTAAGACATGATGATGAATGTCACAGGCTATTCTATGGGCAAAATGTGCTGTGTCTCCCTGCCTCTGGCCTTGGCCTGGCCCCCCACCTTTTCCACATCCAGCCCTACTCTAACAAGAAGCCTTTATTCCACTATCTGGTCTGAAGACAAGGCACTCTGTCGACTTTCTTTTCTTTTTAGCAACTTCTTCAGGGTATTATTGACAAACAAAAATTGCATATATTCATGGTGCACATGCAGTGATTTCATCTGCGTGTACATTGTGAAATGATTACGCAAAGATGACTCTGTTCCACAGAACATGAACTCCACATGCCATAGGCTGTTGATGCACTTAGAGGCTAACAGAACCCCAGGTCTTCTTCATGAACTGGCGTTCGGCCCCGCCTCCCACCTCAACCACAACCACTGGAGCTTAAACAGGACTGTTTACACTTGTCCTGTGGATAATATCTTGCTGAGATTCCCTGGTCTCTGCCTTTTTGAAACTTAGGAACATTTGTCTGGCTCTGGTCTTCCTGTCTGGTTCCTCAAGAACTTGTTTCCATCTGTGAGTCTCAGACATTGAGCCCATCTACGCCTCTCACCCCAAATTTTCCACTGTATTCTCCATGAAATATTTTTTCCCACAAATTTCCGTCTGAAGAACATTTTTCTTGACAGAGAACACCCAAACAGAATGCAAGTAAAGAAGTTAAGGCTTTTGTTCTTGTTTGTCATAATTAATATTAACCATCAGACTCCATCAGTGAGTCTAGCTTCTTCCTGCTCTAAAAGTACTTTTAAACTTTTGCTAACACTTCTTAGTCCTCATGTCCATTCACGTTCTATTCTGCTAACATGACTGCTGTCGTCATGTCAATATTTCTCAATATCTTTTAAAAGGCTGTCTTTACCACAGAGGCTTTTTTTATAACTTTTTTTTATGGTCCTGGAGATTGAACTCAGGGCCTCAAGCTTGCTAGGCAAGCACTCTACCACTTGAATCATGCCCCGGCCCTTTTTGTTTTCAGCTAGGGCCTAGCACTTTTGCACTTTTGCCTGGGTTGACATCAGAAAATCTATCTCTGCCTCCCGACTTGCTGGGATTACAGATGTGAGCCTCCAAACCCAGCCCTAAATTTTTTTATTGTGAAATAATTCTAAAGATTCACATAAAATTATAAAATACATGCAGGAAGGTCTTTGTGACCTGTCACCAGGTTTGCCTCAGTGGCGCCATCTTGGTAGCTTTAGTACAACACCGCAACCAGGCGATTGCTGGAATATGACCCACAGAGTCCATTCATTGCTTCTACGAGGAACATTTCTGCACATGTGTGTAGTTCTATGCAGCTTTGTACTTACAGTCACACATACACCCTTCCATCCTCCACAAGCAACTGCCAACCCAGCAACTGTTGATCCATTCTGTATATGTAATTTTACCACGTCAGGAATGTTAGATAAAGGAATTACATCGTGGGTAACATGTTTGTGTGGTACTGGGAGTTAAACTCAGGATCTCACACTTGCTAGGCAGGCACACTACCACTTGAGCATCACTCCCAGCCATGTTCTTTGGTTATTTTTGAGACAGGGTCACTTTGATCCTCCTTTTCATGCTTCCCAAGTAACTGGGATGACAGGCATATGCCACCACGCCCATTTTTTAGTTGGTTGAGATAGAGCTGGATGTCAACCTCTATCTTCCCCATCCCTGTCTCCTCTGTAGCTAGGATTATAGGCTTGAGCCACCACACCAGGCCTGTATATAGTAGTTTAAAGATTAGTACTTTTTTTCCCCATAGTATAATTCCCTTGAGATCCATCTAGGTTGTTAGATATCAGTAGTTACTTGCATACGTATATATATTATTTGAATATACTCATTGTACAGGGGGATTCATTGTGACAATTCTAAATAGGCTATCATTGTACACTGGTTAGATCGCTCCTACAATCTCTCCTGCCCAGTCCACTTCAAGCAATTGTAAGAGGTTCCATTGTTCTGTTTCATACACATACATGAAGTCCATCAACCATGTTCCTTCACCTTAATCTTTTCATTCCCCTCCCCCTCCCACAAGTATCCCCTCCCACACACACACACTGTACCTATTTTACAGTCCTATCTTTCATTATTAATTTCTAAGTCAATGCTCAAAGGGGTGTCTCATTGAATCCCCACTGTGGCTATTCTTTGGTCCAGTCAACCCTTTTCATTACTCTCCCTTCCCCCTCCCTCCCCACCCCCCCATTACCAACAGCTTTCAATACATATGGTTACATCCTCTACTTCACAGATGTCATGTTTTGAGATACCGTGGATGCTCTCTTGTTCCCTTTTCCTTTCCCTCTTTCCCCAAGTTCCATAGAGTAGGTCCATGTTACAAGCTTGTTCTACATATAGGTTTGTACATGATCATCTTTGTTTTTGTGTATATGTTTATCTTTGGGATCTATCTTCCACGTATGAGAGAAAGCATGGGACCTTTGTCTTTCTGAGCTGGCTTACTTAATAGTTAGTTCTTAATGCGTGGCATTGCATGATATGAATATACCACAGTCTGTTTAACCGTTTGCCCACTGAGGGCCATTTGGGTTGTCTCCAATTTGGGGATTTTACCAATAAAGTTGCTATGGCCACTTGTGAAATGCGTTTTGTGTGAGTATTTACAGTCACATGATGGGTAAGTGCTCACCAGAGCAAGTGCTGGATTCCGAGTACATGTTTGGTCCATGTGAAGCAGCTGGTGTACCTTCCAGTGCTGCTACACCAGTTTCAATTCCACTAGCCATGTCAAACTGGCTGGCTTCCTCACAACCTTGTCAGCATTGGCATGCAATTTTTATTCTAGTTTTGGTTGTAGTCATTCTCATAGGTGTTTAGTGATATCTTGTTATAGGTTTTTGTTGTTGGGTTTTTTGCAGGGGAGGCAAAACAAGGTCTCGGTATATAGCCCAGGTTGGTCTCAAACTTGAGATCCTCCTGCCTCAGCCTCTTGAGTGCTCAGATTACAGATGTGCACACCACACTCCCTCTTCTTACAATTTTAATTTGCATTTTCTTAATGGCTGATGATGGATACCCTCTTCATTGAACTGGGGTTTTTTTGCCCATGATTTGGTTGGATTGTTTGGTTTTGACTGTTTAGTTTTTTTTTTTTTTAATTAAGAGTTCTTTATATACTCTGGCTACAAATCATTTGTCATATATGCAATTTGCAAAAATACTTTCTCCCACTCCAGAACTTGTATTTTTATCCTCGTGACACGGTCTTTCACAGATCAACAGGATTTTTGTTTGTTTGGTGGGTTTTTTTATTCTGATGAGGTCCACCTAACTTAATGATCATCCCTTTATGGATTAGGCTTTTGGTGTCAAGTCTAAGAAATGTCCACCTAGCCCTAAGTCCTAAAGATTTTTCTTCTGTGTTTTATTCTAAAAATTTTATAGTTCTACACTTTACAATTAGGCCTATGATCCATTCTAAATTGGTTTTTGTGTTAGGCCAGGGTCCCGTTTTCTCTCCATGGGTGCCCAGTTGTGTCGGAAGCAGATGTTGAAAAGGACATTCAGTCTTCATTTTTTTGTACCGTTGTCAAAAATCAGTTGGGCAACTGGGTGTGGCAACATGGGCAGGAGTTCCAGCTACTCAGGAGGCTGAGGCAGGAGGGTCGCTTGAACCCAGGAGTTCAGGGCTAGCCTGGGGAACACAGGGAGTCTCTGTCTCAAAAGAAAAAATAATTAGTTGGGCAAATTTGTTTGGGTCTATTTCTGGGCTCTTAATTTTTTTCCATTGAGCTACATGACTATCCATCTACCAAAACCACACTGTCTTGATTGCTGTTGCTACCTTATAAGACTTAATATCAGGTAGTTATTCCTCACATTTTAGTCTTCTTTTCAAGATTGTTTTACTTATTCTGGCCTTTCCTTATAAATGTTAGTATCGGCTTGTCTATACCTAAAAAGATCCCAAGTTGTGATTTCAGTAGGAATTGTGCTAAACCTATAGATGAATGTAGAGAATGGAGTTCTTTACTATATTCAGCTTAAATCCATGAACATAGCATATCTCTTCACTTGTTTATTTGATTTTTTAAATCAGAATTTTGTAAGTTTTAGAATACAGATTCTGTTTGTTAGCTTTACCTCCAAATATTTCAGTTTCTCCCAAGCCATGTTTTAATTTTGGTTTCCAGTTGTTTCTTGTTAGTTTATAGCAATTTTGCTCTTGTAACCTCTTCTTTAATGACCTATTAGTTCTAGGAATTCTTGTTGTTGTTTTAGATTCTTTGTGATTTTCTATGTAGATAGTCACTTCTGCAAATAGGAACATTATTGCTTGTTACTTTCCAATCCATGTGTCTTTTTTGTTCTTCCCTTATTGCCTCAGCAAGAACTTCCCACTATTCTGAATAAGAGTACAAGAATGCCATTCTTGCCTTTTTCTCAATCTTAAGTGGCAAATATTCCGTCTTTCACCTCTAAGCATAATGTTAGCTTCAGATATTTTCTAGACGCCTTTTCCTTATTGAGAGTCTTCTAGGAGTTTCTACATTAGTTTGCTGTAAGTTTATTACTTGTTATGAATCATGAGAGTTTTACTGTGAATTTAATTATGCCACATGCCTTTCCTGCATCAATTATATGTTTTTTCTTCTTTAGCTTGGTAAGCTGATGAGCTATTTTGATTGATTTTCAAATATTGAACTATCTTCATATACTTGTAATAGATCCTGATTGGAGCTGGCATAGCATTCTTTTTATACATTGCTTGATACGATTTACTAATATTTTGTTGAAGACTTCCGTGTCAAAGTTCCTGAGAGATACTGGTCTTTAGTTCGTGTTTTTTCTTTTCCTCCTCCTACTCTTCCTTGTTCTTCCTATCTCCTCCTCTTCCTCTCCTCCTCCTCCTTCTCTTCCTTTTTTAAATTTTCTTCTTTGTCTTTCTTGATTGTCATATCAAGATAATTCTGACCTCATAGAGTGAGTTAGGAATTACTCCCTGTTCTTCTGTAAGAGATTGTGTAAGATTGGTCTCAATTCTTCTTTAAGTGGTTATTGGAACATTCCAGTAAAACCATTGGGCCTGAATATTTCTTTTGGAGGAGATTTTAAACTAAAAATTACATTTACTTATATTTATATTTTATTATATATTTTTATATTAAATTATAGACATTCAGATTATCTGTTTTATTTTGGTAGCTTGTAGTGTTCACTTAATTGGCCCATTTACTTTAAGTTGTGAACATAAAGTTAATGATAATATGTTCTTTTCTTCTTTTTGATGGTTGTAGAATCTGTAAGGAAATCCCATTTCAATTTTTTTTGCAGAACTCAGGGCCTCATGCTTGCTAGGCAGGTGCTCTACCACTTGAACCACTCTGTCAGCCCTTCAATTTTCATATTATGGTTTGCCTCATCTTAGTGTTTTATATTTGCCAGTCTTATTAGAGGTTTGCCAATTATATTGGTTTTGTTCCAAGAACTAACTTTTTCTTTCATTGATTTGCTCTATTTTAAATTTCATTAACTTCTGCTCTTATCTTTACGTATTAGCAGGCTTTTGCATCCTTATAGCCAAACACCTGGCAGAAGCAACTTAATGGAGGAAGGATTTATTTTGGATGGTGGTTTCAGAGAATTCAGAACGTGGTTGCTTGGCCCTGTGGGCTTGGTCAGAACATTGTGGCAGCAGGACCATGTGGTGGAGAAGAGTCAAGGTGGACAGGAAGCAGAAAGAAGGGATACAGGATAGGACCAGAACAAGATATAGCACCCCCAAAAACATCCAAGTGACCTATTTCCTCCAATTAACCCCAGCTCCTGCCTTTCACCACCTCACATGGATGTGGCCTGCACAGGCTGGGTGCCTTTTTTCTCTGCCATCTGCAGCAACCACCTTTGTCCTGGCTTGTGTTTCAGATCCAAAGCCCAAGAAGAGAAATGGGGGGAACTGCCTCATGGCGATAGTGGTCATCTACCTGATTCTGCTGTCAGCAGGTGCTGTGTTGCTGGTGGTCCAAGGTAAAGGAGTCTGGGTCCTATGTAGTACCTCCTGGAGAGCCAAACTGGCCCCTTTGATGCAAGCCTCAGGCTGAGTGGAGAGTCCTGAGACCATCACTGCAGGGATGCAAGGGCACAGTTCCAGCACACTGATGGGGAAGTGAAGGGTGTGTGTGCACGCATATGTGTGTGTGAGTGCATGCATACTTGCATATGCATGCATGTGTGTCTGTGTGTGCATGCATTGTACATGTGAGTGTGTGTCTGTAAGGCAGTGAAATATGTAGTAAATTCACGGAGGGTTCACCACACATATCTGACTCAAAGAATTTCCATCTTCTGGGTAAAAAGGGATTTTGTTCCTCTAACTTTCAAAGCATTCCCAGATAATGTCAAAATAACCAAGCAATTCCATCAGCAGATGTTGATGTCACTCAAGAGGTTGTGTGCACACTTGTCATGCACATTTGTCATGAACATATCAAGGTCATGTCTGAATACATCTTCATGTGAGACCAACATGCTAGCTGTCCTGCATTCACACCCAAGCATGCAGGAAGATCTAGCTAGATGAAGTGTGGAGATGGATGGTGGATGCCATGAGCACATCTCTAGGCCATGAAGGAATGTTCTATGGCTCTGACGCCTGAGTGTGGAAGAAGGAGGACATGTGTTCAAGGTGTAGGAAAAGCTCTGTGTTCATACCAAGTCCTAACAGCACCTGGAGATTGTGTTTACAAACTCAGGGCCTACAGAAGTCATGCATGTGTGACACAAGGGTGTCAGGGATCCAGGCTTTAGTGAGGTCCCTAATAGGATGCTGTGGGATGGGGGTCTAGTTCTGAATCTGCAGAAGCGGGTCCAAGCCCTGGAAATGTACCTCCCTAATGGAACACTGGCCGCCGAGGACAACCCATCCTTCTCCTTGCTGCAGTCTTCCCACCCCAGAAAATACCTGACTCCAGGCTCATCGGGGCTGCCAGTTCTGCAAGCCCAGCTCAGCCATCTCCGTGTCAACCAGGAGCACCTTCTTCAGTGGTTGGACAACTTCACGCAGAACCCAGGTCTGACCTCCTTCCCTCTGGGGTTAGGACTGCTCAGGAAAGAGGAAAGAAGTGGCTATTCATTCAACATGGCTTGAATCCTCTTCCCTGGCAAGAGGGGCTTCCAGGACTCTGGCCTCACCTGGGACTCTAGGGACAAGACAGGGAGGACCAAGGGAGGCTTCAAATAGGACTCTAAGAGACAGTGGGGTCAGGAACTGGAGGACCAAGGGTCCTATACAAATAAAGTGTGGCCTCCAGAAATCAGGGACTGGAGCAAGGAGCCCAAGGCCAGATCTGAGCCACAAAGTACCCAGACTGTCCCAGAACATTTAGGAGGTGGGTAGGGCACAGAGCCTGGGTGGTTCCCAGGACCATTCTCACACAGGTGGCTTATCTTGGCCTGCAGTTGAAAAAGCAACTGAGGGCACCACGCTAGTACAGAATGTGGGGGCCAGGAGGGGCCAGGACAGTTCAACCTGCTGGGGAAACCTGGAGGCTAGGGTGGTGGGGCTACAGGCAGAAGAAAATGGAGGGTCACTCTCATTATTCTGCAGCAGTCCTTCTCTCAGCTCCCCAAAAGGAGAAAGGCTTTACCCTCAGTCAGTGTGGATAACCAGCTACTAGGCCAAACCTGGCTGCCACAGGGTTACACTGTGACATGGAGCTCTGGCCCCAGCAGGGTTCCTTTCTCTGGCCACCATGTCCCATGTCTGAGTGAGCTGGGTATTGGAGAGTAAATCTCTCCAGAGGATGCAGCCTCTCCAAGGAGCAAAGATGAAGGCTGAGCTGGGATGTGAGGACAGGCTCTGGCTTTGGGCAGGTGGACAAAGCCCAGGCTTGGACACAAAGACACCACTAGAGTATCTCTCTTGCGCATGAGATGTGAAAGAGTCCTTTTGACCAACAGGAAGAGGCCATTTCTTCCCCAGGAGTCTCTGCCAGCTGGTGGGAGCAGTGCCAGTACACACAGGAGCACTGAACTCCCTTTCTACTCTTCCTTGGCTCCCAGGACCTGTACTCCTGAGAGTGGACTGCTAGCTGAGCATCTTGTCTTTCCAAGGGCAATCTCCAAACTCCCAGGTGTTTGGCTCCTGTCATCCAAATGCCCCAGTCTAGCAGAAGCCTCTGTCCCTCCAACAGGGAGTCCCAGCCTTCTTATGCAGAGTCTAGGGGTACAGTGACTAAGCCAAAGGGGCCCCCATGGTTCAGCCTGCAATCCTTTCTCCTTCTTTCCTAGAGCTGTTCAGGATCAAAGGTGAACGAGGCACTCCAGGTAGGTTCATTTCTTCTCTGACCCTTTCTGCCCCACCCCTAAACTTTTCCCCAAGGGCTCCATGGCCTGTGCCATTTTGGGGCCATGCCCAGTCTGACTCCAGCTTACCTTCCAGTGGCCACCCCTCTGCCTCCTGGCCAGGCTTTGACTCCCAACCCTGGCACTCTGCCCTTCTCTGCCCTCTTCTATGACTGAACTCTCTCCTTTTCCTTCTTCCCATCCAAACCTCACCATCCTCCCAAGCCAGTACAAACCCAATCCCTCCATTCTCCCTGCCCCAAGCATCCAAGCTTTCAGGAGCCGCTTTCCTTATCTCCCATAAGCACGCTTGCCAGATGCAAGCGTTTAGGTGATGGGCATCTTGTAGGAAAGGGTTTCATCTTCTTTTCTTCTGTTTTTCCTTCCGCGCAAATTAACTTGTCCTTGGTGCTCAAGGAAAGTTTGTTGAGTGGATGACCACTGAGTGGCATTGTCACCCCACCTTGTTGGTTGACTCATTGGTATCTGTGCTCTTCTTCCTCATGTCTTCCAGGTCAGAAAGGGGCCCCAGGTGTTCCTGGCATCCCTGGCCTGCCAGGGCCACCTGCTCAGAAGGGAGCCAAGGGGGCCTCGGGACATGATGGAAACCCAGGTATGGCTTCTGTGTCCTGACCCTGTACTCTTTTTTCCTGCTTTCTCCAGGCTGTACTCTGAATTTTCTCTCCCATCCCCACTCCAGGTGTCCCAGGACCCCAGGGCCCACCAGGCATCAAGGGAGAGGCAGGTGAGTAGGCGCTGGGTGTGCACAGGAGGATCATGCAGAAAGGTTTGCTTGGTGACACGGACTCAGTCCACAGTCTATACTCCTAGATGGGTTTGAGCCCCTGGGTGAGCTGAGAAGCTGTGGGGTGGGGGTGGGGGGTTATAGCCATATGGTGGGAGGGCAGAGCTGGGCCATAGCCTCAGGGAGGTACTGAGAATGGTGTGTGGCCTGGCCTGGATGGGCTCTAGTCTCCTCCTCTGTGCTAGGAAGTCCAAGCCTGAGCATCACTGGGGAAAGTCTGCCTGTCTGATCCAGCAGGGACTAGAGAGTCCAACACATCTGCTTCTGTGCTCTTGGCAGCCTTCCATTATCTTTCTGAACCTCAGTTTCTCAGTCTGTAAAATGGAACTGAGAGCACTCCAGAGGGTTGCTAGGGGATTCAAGGTGATTTATTATTTGTTTGTTTATCTTTGAGACAGGGTCTCTCTATGTATCCCAGGCTAGCCTAGATCTCGTGAATCTCCTGCCTTAGCCTTTGGAGTGCTGGGATTACAGGCCTGGGATGCTGTGCTCAGCTTCAAGACAATGATTTGAAGCCCATGACTATTACTGGAACTGTACTAGGTTCTATTTTTCAGACTGCAGCCTAAACCTACCCACCTGCTTTACACATGGCCAAGGCATGTCTCTGTCATAGAGTAAGGAACTCAGAGCTTTTTCACCCTCCAACCCAGGACAAAACCCAAAGTGGCTGTTACAGTCCACTCCACTCTTCCCTTTCACCCTCTGACTCCAAGTTCCCCAGCGCTGAACCTCTGAGATGTAAAGTCGCAAAAACACTCACCAAGCTAAGAACCAGCGGATTTCTAAGTAAGGGAAACAAACAGCCCAACAGTCTCTAGGCATCCAGGCTGAAGAAAATACCCCAGTCACAGTAAGGAAACACGTTAGCAGGAAGATCCAGTTTGAGGCACTAACTTGTAGAAGGAATTTAATAGATGAAATCCAAAGAATTCATTTCTTGTCCTGAGTCTCCCGGCAATGTGAGAAGACAGGAAGGAAACTCCTGTTCCTGCAGGGAGGCTCACAAATCCACTCAGCCCTCACACACCCACTCCTGCGGTCATTTTCACGCACACAATCACATTCTCAACTCACACACCACCTACATTTGCACAGCCACGTGCTCACACACGCTCACACATGTGAACACACAGCCATACATGTGCTTGAATTCCCACGTTCACACTAACACGCCCTATACATACTCTCACTCACACTCAACCTGTGGGAGCAGGGCAGGCTTATTCAGGAAGAAGCAGGGCTCCCTCTCTTCTTCTCCCAGAGAGAAAGGATCCCAGGCTAGGTTCTCAGCGCTCCAGAGCTCACTGCAGCCATAGGTTGGCTTGAAAGAACGATCAGCCTGGCCAGGGCCATGAAGGATGCAGAAGAGCCTGGAGTCTCGCTCCTCATCAGGACTCCTGCAGGCACGCAGAGGGCTAGGGACGAGAAGGCTGCGCGAGCTTTCCAAACCCAGGCAACATTTTCTTTAGCTCCAGTCCTTCATGGAGCCCACATCTCTAAAAGAAAACGAAGAAGTAGCTGCAGTGGTGCCATGGGGAGGGTGTGCACAAGAGCCCACCTGAGCACACCAGGAAAAGCAGGAGAAACTCACCTACTCCCTGAGGGCCTCACCCAATGGCTACTCCACTTATCTCTCCCTCCTCTCCTTCCTTACTCTCCCTCCTGGATCCCTCCATTCCCCTTCATGCCTTCACTGTCCTGCTCTCAGCCTTCCCCTCCATGGGAGGAGTCCCCACCTCCGTCCTCCAGGGACAACAGCACCTCCAGGCTGCACTCAGCACACTAACCTGGCATTCCTCGCTCACTCCTTGAGAAAGGGAACCATTTCTCAATTTTACTTTTGTCCTGGACACTGGAACATGAACTATGACCCTGCTAAAGACAGGTCATTATTAGTCCCATTTTACAGATAAGAAAATTGAGATGCAGGATAATTAAGTGACTCTTCCCAAGTCCTCCAGCCTACAGGGTGGTAGAGCTATGATTCAAACCAACTTGCCTTGCTCTAAAGCCTTTCTTCCATGGCCACGGGACATGTTCTTGGTGCTGCTCCAGCCTTCGGAAAGAACGTGAACTCTGCCTGGCCCCACCAGGGACCCTGCCAAGTGCATGTGAAGGGGGGGGTCTACTACTGAGCACCCCCTCTGCAGTGCAGGGCTCTGGAATGTGCAACTGAGGAGCCCAGACACCATGACCAAGCTCTTTCCTTCCTTCCCCATAGGCCTCCAAGGACCCACCGGTGCACCAGGGAAGCCAGGAGCTACGGGTAACTTGTGCTGCCAGTGGTGCATTGCCTAAGGGCTCCCGTGTCCTCTCCACAGTCCTGCCCCAGTCCCGAGCTCTACACCCCCTCCCCTGTCCTCTTCACGATCACTGAAGAGACATGCTGACACGCCTCCTAGGGACCCCTTCCCTCTCCTCCAAACCTTCTGGCCTCTTTTCCCAAGAGACAGTGGGAGCCCACCTTACCCACACTCTCTTCACAGGTTCCCCTGGACCCCAAGGCGAGAAGGGCAGTAAAGGCAACAAGGGTCTCATGGGCTACAAAGGAGAGACTGGTGCTAAGGGGAACAAGGGAGATGCAGGTCTCCCAGGTAAGAGCCATGTTTGACTGTCAGTGCACATGGGGAGACCAGAGCTCCAGGCACCCTGAGCCCAGTGGAGGGTTCAGGCCTTGCTAAGAGCTCAGAGAGGAAGGAGGAGGGCCTGAGGAGAGCCTTAGGAAGACGGTGACCAGCAGCCAGAACAAGGGGGCTGATTCCACCAGTCAACCCCAGGCAGCCAGAGTCCCCACTGAAAACAGGTGCTGTCCCAGAGCAGGGGCCTCCTGGGCTGTGCACCATGCTTAAGAAGCATCTGGGTGTTTGCTCAAAATGCAAGTTGGGCCCAAGAGTGTGCTTAAAATGCCTGGTGATTCTGACCTTGGAGGTCTGCACCACCTTTGGAGAAATCTTGTCTTAGGATTCTTCACTTGAATGGCCACCTTCACAATCCTCAGCTCTTGCCTCTTGCAGCCCAGTGGGGAGGCTCTGGGGTACGAAGCAGGGAGCCAGGCAGGCTTGGTTTCCATCCCTGTCCTGTACCTTTTCACTTGTGTGGCCAGGCACATTCCTAACCCTTCTGAATTTCAAGTTCCTTGCTTCAGAGAAAGTTGGTAATTTAATTAAAACAATAACAACTAAATTATACATACCTTGCCGGACAATTATAAGGGCTGCTGATGTTGTCAGGCTGTCTGCCACAGGATAGCTTTTATCAATACTAGTAATAGTTATCCTGCAAGGTAGACAGGGAAGGACCTCAGTTCCAAGGTCAGGCAGACCTAGATTTTACCAAGGCTTACTAGCTATGTGACCTTGCACAAATGACTTAACCTCTCTGGGCCTCAAGTTACTATCTGTAAGAGGATAATAATAGTGACCTTCAATGAAGATTAACTACAATGGAATATAAGACAGGTAAAACATGTGACACCATACCTGGCAGATAGAAATTTTTCACCTTGTAAGAAACCAAGTACGCTTGCTTTCCAGAAGAGAGAGCCCTTGGTGCTAATGTATTAGCCATCCTCGAATAGTTGAAGGACACTTTGGGGGAGAAAATAGACTAGCTATAGATGGTGCCCAGATGAAGAATGAAGAACACTGAGCCAGTTTCAGAAGGACAAGTTGTGGTGAGGCAAGGGAACAAGAACGACTTAGCACTGGGGCTGATCAGTGGGCAACCAGGGATGGAGGGACCACAGAATCCTTGGCAGGCCTGAAGGGGCATCCTTGCACTAAGCAGAGGCCATGGCAGCTCCTCCAAAGCCAGAGCTCCGCAGCTCTTCGCACCACAGGGAAACCCAGCAGCACCACAGGAGGGTGATAGCCAGTGGCTTGCCCTCCTGCCCTTTGCCTGTTGGGTCTGATCCATCCTGTTTCCCGTCCAATCCACACCCTGACTCCAGTCCAGCCCACCTCTCCTCCAACCCCTCTCCCACGATTGTGAGATCTCAAATCTTGCTCGTCACACCCGCCCTATCCACAACCAGCATGGACAGTGCAGGCCATGAGCCCAATCCCAAAGATGCTGAGGTTTCCCTGGCTCTTTACTCCAGCAGGCAGGGACTACCACTGCAGGGAGGCTTCAGGCGACAAGACTGTTTTCTCCACTGCCTCTCTCAGCCACGACCAGGAGGTTCTGAAGTCAGAAGTAGCTTCGCTTCCTGGGTTGCAGCTATAGTCTGTTCTTCTCACTCATGTGAGAATGTGTCAGCATCCCAGTTGTCCCTCTGATGGCAATGGAAGCTGTAGCGATGCCATGCCAGCCCAGTGCATTCTGAAGAAATCCTGTGCAGCTGCCCAGACAATTGCTGTACCTGGTGGCTCTGGCCCAACATAAGGCACCCACGAATCTCCCAGGGAAGTAATTCCCAGTGCTCCTAACAGGCGCCACCGGACCCTTGTCCGAAGTGGCCACTCCCAGCAACCAAGAATGCCTTCTCTGCTGTTTGTACTTAAACCTCAACTATAACCATGCTCTTTAAAAATTAATTCATTAATTTTAATGGACAGATAATTGCACAGTTATGGAGGCAGTGTGATATTTTGGTGGATTATGTAATGATCAACTCAGGATATTTAGGACATCTGTCATCTCAGTCATCATTTCTTTGCAATGAAAACATTCAAAATCCTCTCTTCTAGCTATCTTGATTCATCCAGCTCAATATTAACAACTGTTAATATCCAGAACCCACCCCTCCGAGGCTGCGTCTTTGCATGTGTGGACCCGATCCTTTACTGTTGCTTGAAACCGTCGTTCTTTAGGTAGCCATCCATCTCAGAGACCCTGACTCCCCAGCCTCACACCAACTTCACTCAAAGCTCAAGTGCAGAAAGACTGGCTCTTTCTCTCCCTTTCAGGGCCTGTGACCCCATTCTTAATTCACTAGAAAGAATTAAGGTGACATCATACCTATACCCTCTTCAGAACCATTTTGTTAAATAATACAGCCATAAATGCCAGGTAGTCTGCTTGAGAGCTGAAAGTTTGCTTTAGGGTGAGATGGTCCCTTTAGACATTCACCCCACACTGACCCCACAGGTGTGGAGCTGGTCCTTCAACCCAGCTGACAGAGGGACAACAGTGGCTCATTGAATACCCAATGCCCAGTAGGGATGGGGTGGCCAGTGAGGTCCTCGCAGCCCAATCCTCAACTCTCTGCACTATTGGGAGTTGTGCAGAGCCAGGGCCCTGCCAAAAGCTGCCCTCAATTGATATGCGCCAAGCACTGGCAGGAAAGGAGGGAGACAGAGGACTCAGGAGAGGACAGGCTGGATGAGACTCGAATGCTGATGACAAGTGGAAAATTTGAAATCGTGGGTGCCAGGGAAGCCCGTGTCTGAAGTGCTGGTGGGAACAGGAATTGTCACAATGTTTTTCTCTCTACTGACGCCCTTTGCTGTTCCTGCACTTGAAATCCTCTTTCTAGAACACTCAGGTTTCAGTTTGAGAGGCTTTGAACAGTAATTCCCAAAATGTAGACAATAAAAGGAGCCAAAAAGTGCCAGGTGAGCCTGGGTCATGGTCCTTCCCAAGGGGACCAAGGTTTTGACTGGGTTACTGGAATCCCAGCTGCAGGGTCTTCCATGGCCATCAGCCATGCCAGGTCACCTGGCCAATTTGTCATGTCTTTATGTCCTCTCTCTGGGAAGGTGGAGGGCTCTTGAAGGCTGAGATCAGATTTTCCACCTCTGGGTACCACGTAGAAGCCCAAAGAGTTTTACTTTGGAATTTGGGAGGGATGGGACATGTCTGAGTGGGACCCCCTGGCTCCGTTTGCCCTTCTCCCGTGCCTGACTTTGACTGCTTGTTTTTTTTTTTTTTTTTTTTTAGGAAGCAAAGGAGATATGGGCATGAAAGGAGACACAGGGGTCATGGGGCCCCCTGGAGCCCAGGGGAGTAAAGGTGACTCAGGGCAGCAAGGCCCGCCAGGTAAGGGACTGCCCCTTTTCTCTGGCAGTCTGAGCCTGAGAGAAAACATTTCTAAAAGCCCTTCTTTGTTGTAGGCTTGGTTGGACTTACTGGAGCCAAAGGCAATCAAGGTAAGGAGTGTGGGAAACTGAGCATCCTTCCAGTGGCCACAGGCCCTGGGTAAAAGGGACCTGACTCCACCGTCTTTTATTTCATCGTATCAACCGGGGGCACCGAAGGGTTCTTATAAGCTCAGCCCCTCCTGTGAGGAACAGAGTGGCCAAGGGCAGGCTTAATTGATGGTTCTCCTTTGACCTTCCTCTCTGGGGGTGGAGCTGGACATTCCTCTCTTCCCCCTCCCTGGTTCCTAATCCACCACACTCCTACAGCAGTGAGTAGAGAGTGGCACTTTTGTACTCACTGCTGGCACTTTTGTACTCACTGCAGTTTGTGGCATCTGGAGAGGTTAAAGCTGCAGAGGTGCCTAGAGGGCATTAGAGGTGTGTGTCTCACTGCTGAGAACAGAAAGATGGGGTGGGGGCATCCAGGCCATCTGCCTGCCAGTCCCAGCCCTGCCAACACCACTTAACTTTCAGGACAACCTGGAGTGCCAGGTGTTCCAGGCCCTCCAGGTGCAGTGGGACCCTCAGGTGCCAAGGGTGAGCGTGGCAGCGCTGGCCCTGCTGGACTAACAGGTGAGGTCCTGCGTCCTGTGTGGGGAGTGGTGTCCCAGCAGCTGTTCAACCTAGTCCTTATGCCTTCTTTGGTGTCTACTGTCTAGGGCCAGCAGGGAGTCCTGGGAGTCCAGGAGCCACGGGCTTGAAAGGAAGCAAGGGAGACACAGGTAACAGGGTGTGTGGGGGTGGGAGGGGTGTCTGGATTGACAGGAGGGACTTCTGTCCCCCAGAAGCCACAGAAGTCAGCAGAGAGTCTCCTGTGTTCTGGCCTCTGAGGCTCCCTGATTAAGGCGGGCAGTTTCATCTGCTTGGACCCCTTGAACTCACGGCCCCAGGACTGTTCTTTCTCTGTTCAGAGTTCCTAAAGGGACTTGAATGCCATGGGCGAGAGCTGGCACATGGCTGTGCCTGCTCTCCCAGCTGTGTGCATGGTTTCCACTCCATCCTGCTGACTTCAGTGGAGCCAGCACTCTGGATTTGGGCTGGAGGATCAAAAACTTTTTGTACATTCTCTTGGGAGGCAGGCAGGGAGCTCAGTCCTCACTGAGGAGCTCACAGAGGCTAGCATACAAACCTTCATGCAGCTTAGACTATGCTCTCTACTGCCATGTCAATGTAGTCTGGGTTAAAAACAACTTAGCAATTTCATCTAGGTTGTATACCATTGTACCAGCGTGGGCTACTTGGTAAACAACTGTGTTAATTTCATCTGGTCTTTAAGTCTGGGCCCCTACATTGTACTCAATTGGTCTAGGAAGTTTGAGCCATTATGTTGCACACTGGGCTCCCATGATGCCCTTAGACACTGTGCTGGTGCAGAAGACAGACTGCACCAAGTAGGGACTTGCTTGGAGAACCGCCACATGCCCTTTGGGAAACCACGTGCAGGCAGGAGTGCTATGGGGAGAGCAGGGTGGTGAGACAGGACTTGTGTCTGCCTTGATGCCTTCCTCGGCCAGAGTGCAAGATTGTGCTCTGGTCAGACAGCCTGGATGCCCCCACCCCTGGCCAGGCTACAGACTCACACCATGGCTGGTCTTCACAATTCCAGCTGATCAAGTAGTGGATTGATTGATTGATTGATTGATTCACTCATTCATTCATTACTACCTTCTGCCAAGTCTTGGGCTCTGTGCCCATGAGCCTTGGGTTTTCCTGAAGGTATGCAGGGGCAGCACTTGACCTTCTCTGTCCTTTTACTCCATTCAGCCTCAGAGCCGTCTTCTTTTTCACGCATTGTGTGTCAGTATGGGCAGGGGCCTGCTACCCGGTGCCATGTAAATATCTGAAGACCATAAAAAGGCCTCACCTGGGGAAAGACTCCTTATAAGGGTGGTAGTCAGAAGTCCCTGACTCACTGGTTGTCCTTTCTGATCTCCATGTTCTCTTGTCCTGGATCTTTGGGTCCATCCGATTTTGGGGACTGAAGCTCTCTGCCCCTGAACTTTCTCCGTGGCTCCCTGGGTCTGAGCATTTTCATGACCTAAGGACTCTGGTTAGTGCTATCTTACATTCTTGTTTCCACAAAGTCAAAGTATCAACAAGACATGCATCTGGGGTTGGAATCTAGCCGGACTGACTTAGAGCTTGAGTCTTATCCACCACACTCTGCCACAGGGTCTTCCCATCAAGCCACCTTCATTAGGGGACTGTGACTAGCGACACCTTCTCCCTTCATCTCAGTTCAGAAAGGATCGGGGCAGAAGTAATGGCAGCTTTTCCCATTCTCAAGAGGAAACATGAAGTTCTCAGGCCCTGCAGTGGCCCTAAGTTACTCCCTCAGTTTTAGCATAGGCACGGTAGTACACAGATCACCGAGTCCTCGTGTATCTGTTGAGTACCTATTAGCAATAAATATCAGCCAGTTCAGCGAAGGGGTCACCCCTTAATTCTGGCTGCCAAGTAGACATGATGAATTATATTTTCAATTTCAGACATCTGACACGTTACCATTTATGTAAAATCTCATGGACTGCCTATCCAAATACAAATGCCTGTCTTGATCAAATAGCTAGCTGATGGGCCCCACATGCACCTCCCAGAGGGGAATTCTCATGGGGCCAGAAGTCTGTTGAAGTCAGAGGCTAAGGAATTCCTGGAAAGATTAGGCTTGATGATTTCTGAATGGTTAGAGGGGAGAGTGGGTGGGGAGTGGGAGCCAGATCAGCCCACGATGGCAGACAACACACACTTGTCAATGTCAGCATGTTGGTATTCCCCAAACTCAAGTTACTAGAGTGATTGTCTAGTTTTGACATATCAAGCCAGGTTTTCAAACTGGTGCATTTCCCATTGTGTAAATAAAGTCATTAATCTCTCAGGATATATCTAGCTGATTTGGTTGAAAACAGAGATATTACAGTGAGACGACTTGACCTAGGGAACAGTTAGATCTCATTATTGTGCTTAATTATAAACAATGAGAGGTCCATTTATTATCAACAGTGGCCCTGGACCACGCATGTGCTCAGGACTCGACTCCCATAACCTTAGTCATCTGTCCACAACACCAGAGTTTACCCTTCCTGCTTTGCAGCCGAGCAAAGGCTCAGAGAGGATGAAGACTTTGTTCATAGGCTTGAGGTTATTATCTTCTGGATCTGGGTGTCGTCCCAAAGTCATGCTTTCCAGACTTTGTTGTATAAAATCATTGAGTCATTCTATCTTGTTGTGTAGAATAACACAGAGCAGAATCCAAAAGATATCAGAGTTACCCTTACCCCCATCCTAAACCTCCTACCCCATGACTCAGTCACTACATCTGACTCTGTCAACTAGCCACACCCCAACACATTTAGCAGGAATGGTTCCCCTTGTTCGTACCTCTTGAGAGAGTAGAAACATCTCCAATTAAAGAAGAAAAGGGAAACTCCACCCATTTTGCTGGGAAGGCAAACTCCATCTTTGATTATGTAAGACATCATACCCAGCAGCACTTTCTCTAATGTTCTGCTGATACAGACTTCCCTCACCTGGCAGATATAGACTTCCATTTGATTCCCCAAACTTAGTTTTTCCAGCTTTTTCTCTTTCAAAAGACTGCAAAAGAACAACCAGATTTTAGCTCTACTTCCCTGAGCTACTTTGTAAACTAAAGTCAACCTGGTCGAAAATTCTTCATGTCATTGGCCTTTCTGTCTAAAACATAACCATTAGAATTTTCTGTGCCCTTTTATTTTCCTCTAGAAGCAAAATCAAAATGCAAATTACTTGAACTCTATTTTCTCATCTGCATTTAAGATATTTTACTTTAAAGATAAGTAGCAAAGATAAACCATAATAGCAATGAAGTCCAATATCACTTATATAATTACTCTGTTAATTTCACTTTTCATATCTAAGTTTTCATGTAGTTCAAGAATTTATTAAATTCAGCTAAGTCAGATTACTGAATGGTCATTTATAAAACTCTTCCTCATTTTCCTCTATAGAGACATCTGCAGAAGTCTACACACATCCCAATCTTAGGTCACCTGTCCATCTTATTACTTCTTGTCCCAAAGCTCAAATTTTCAGTTATTAGATTAATCCTAAATTTTCCAGGCTACATCCAGCTTGTAAGTCAGGATGGCACTTAAAGACATTTCCTACTGGAAATTTCTACATTTAACTCAGAATCAGGAGACCTGACCTTCAACCTGGATTTGTCACTGATCAGCTGGGGGACTGTAGACCAGGACTTGATCTCAGTGGGCCTCAGTTTCTTTCTTGGTGGTGTGTGAGTAGTGTAGAAGAACATCCAGGTAAGTAGGCCTCCAGCTCCACAGCACTCTGGGTTAGACACAGGGCCCTCAGGATAGGAAAGAGCTAAGACTTCAGTCAGAGCACCAATGGAGCAATGAACTAGAGGAGGAGTGGTGCTTTCTAATTATTTTTTTTTGGTGGGGAGGCAACATTTCTTCAAAAACAACTCATCCTGATAAATTTGTGATACCCAGGGAAAACCAATTTGCTGTGGTCAAGAAAAAAATGTAACATCCATTTCACTTCAGTGCAGTTTTAGAAGGCACAGTTCTACATTCTAGTTTTCAGCCATTCTCCTTCCAACATGTGTTAGCTGATCCAGTCGGGATGCTGCCTTGATGCACAGTGATTTGTCTCTCGATTGTTCAGTGAGTGAACAGCCTCTCACCCAGTGCCCTCTTGGAGTCCAACAAGGTTTGGGGAGAAATCACACAAATCTCAATCTTAATTTCTTCCCCTTGAAGCAAGGAGATTTGAAGGCAAAATTGACATGCATTAAACACATCTCAGAAGGCATTTCATCAAGGTCCCACCTCTGTCATATGAATGTGACTCTGAGGAGCTCAGATGAATGAGGGGACAGAGTTCCTGCAGGGATAGGAAGGCTGCTCTAAGCTGGTCCCTGAGAACGAGTGAGTTTTTAGGGCACTGCTACGCAGCGTGGTCCCTGGATCAATAGCATCAGCATCACTTGGGAACTTGTTAGAAATTTGGATTCTTAGAGGGCTTAGGGGCGTGGCTCAGTGGTAGAGCGCCTGTCTAGGAAGCAGGAAGCCCTGAGTTCAAACCCCAGTGCCACACACACACACACACACACAAAAAAAAAACATAGAAATTTGGATTCTTAGATCTCACTCCACTCCCACTGAGTCAGCATCTCTGGGTGGGCTGGCAAGTTGTTTTTTAAACAAGCCCCATCTGGGTGATTCTGATGTGAACTCCAGTTTAACTTCACCTCACTTAGGGGAAAGGAATGTCCAAGTAGACAACCTGAGTGAAACTCCAGGAAGGGGTGAGTCTGGCCAGCTGGTGAAAGAGAGGCAGTCACAGGGCACAGGGGCAGGCAGGGCCTGGGTTAACAGCTCAACTACACCAGTCACTCCTGTGTGACCTTGGATAAATAACCTAGCATCTCTGAATGTGGTTAACTTGACTTCCTCCCCTGAGAGTAAGGGAAATAACATGACCTTGCAAGGTAGCTGAAAGATGGGAGCAGGCAGTGTGTGAAAAGCTCCAGCACAGTGAAGGCAGCAGCAAATACAGAGGGAAGGACTGCAGGGGCAGGATTGGGGAGGGAGCATGTGGGGATCAGTAAGGAGGCCACGGACCTAGTGAACAGGGTCTGCCATGGGGTTCAGTAGAGTTTGTCCTTCAGTGTTTTAGAGGACAGTTGGAGTGCTATATGTTTTGGAGTGGGGACAATGAGGGAAAGTTCAGTACACTGGAGCCCCTGAGCCTACCTTCTAGGGACAGGCTCTGGAGGTAGAGATTGGTGTAATACAGCACCCTCTAGGATTGGGACAGAGTGCCATAGGGTAGAGGTGGACTGCTCCCATTTAGTGTCCGCCATAGACCTAGTTCTTCATGAGGTCTCCCCCAATCTTGATCCATGCTATTCAGCTGCAAGTCCTCTGCTGGGTGGCCTTGGCTAGGTCCCTGTAGGTCAATAGCAAACATTTCCTGGGGGCTCCACCCCAGTACCAGAGACACTCCTCACCTGGATGGGAGACATGCACGCAAATGATCCACAAGGTCCTCATGCCATCCTTTTCCTTCAGCTCTGGCTGATACCCATGGCTACACTTTGTGCCATGATAGCAAGGAGATTCAGAGGATGAGACTGAACAGAACATCTGACTCGGGGTCACAAAGGCAGGACAGGGCAGAGGAGGCTCAAGCCCAGGCTATCTGAATCTGGAATCCTTTGCTGGGCTTCCTTGGGAGAAAGCTTGTCATCAATTGGCTAAGACTTTGAAGTTGGTGCTACCTGACATGTCTGAAAGGTTTACAGGCTAAATGTGAGTTCTCCAGGTGGACCAAAGGGGTGAGGCATTGGGTTTGGATGGGTCGGCATGTATGCCAAAGGCTTAGGGTGAGCTGGGGCCTGTCTGCCAGGGGCTGACTTCCAAAGCACTTCCCACTATTGGAAGAGCCTCTCCCAGCCCAGTGATGGCTGGAGTAGTGTCTACCTCTCTGACTCTGATTCTCCTCCCAGCCTGTGCAAGGCCTCAGGGCATGGTTAAGATGTTGCAGAGGACCAATCCTTCTCCGACTCAGTATCCCAAGAAAGAGCCTGTAAAGGGCCTGCTGAGCCCTCACCTCACCCCCTGACCAGCACACTGTGGGTGTTCAGGAAATTCAGGCAATGAAGTGGGTAGTTGGACAGGTTGAGGAGGAAACAGCCCCAGGCTACAGCAAGGCAGGTGAATGAGCTTCCTGTGGTTTCTGGTGATCGTGAGAAGGGTGGGTTTGCCATAGGGCCTGGCTGTGTCTCACCAAGTGGGATGGGCACAGATGCTTGTGAATACCTGTGTGTGTCCCCCTATTTCTCTCTAGCAACTGCTACTCGATGGTCCATAATTAGCTTGCACTTTTCCATGTTTGCGGACCTGTCTTGGGGGAGTCCTGTTGCTCTGAAATAAACCAATATTGGATCTTAGCATCAAAAAGGCCATGATTTTTCTGAGAGAGCAAATTATGATCCACAGTGCTCCAGCAGGGTGCTGGGACCCAGGGCCTTCACGAAAGCTTGCTGCACGAAGGGAAGCATGGGTGGAAAGAAGGAAGGAGGGAGGCAGAGGAGAGCAGAGGACCTCTCACATTCACTGCAAATGGAGTCATCACCAATAATTGCAGTGTTATTTCTCCATTTTCTGAACATAAGACCTTTCAGACACCTGGATCTTTATCCATCCTGGGGGCCACAATGAATAAGCCAATAAATATTTACAGTAGAATATATTCTACTCAGGGTGAGGAACCCCAAGGCTCCTGGTGGCCACTGTCCCCTCCATAGTCTTTATGAAATCAAGGAAACTTTATTTCCAAAATACCCCTCATTTCTCTTCAATAAATATCTCTCAATAAAATGCAACATCAAGAAATGGGACTAGATTTAGACACCAAGTCAGATTGTTGGTGGGCAGGAAAGGCCAGCCAGTGAGGCTGGGGTCTGTCTGCCTTGGAGTCCCACCCAACATGTGGTTATTTCACGACACACACCATCTCCATTTATCTGGAGCCTGTCTCCTTTTATGTTCTGCCGAAGACTTTTTAAACAACCGTGGAGAACCAATGTATCTTTCCATCTGCATTAATCAGACAAAAGGTAGAGGTGTCTAAGATTAAAAGTGTCTAATATCTAAGTTTTATTATCTTCTCCTCCTTTTCTTTGTTTTGATGTAGGAATTCAAGGACAAAAAGGAACAAAAGGAGAATCAGGAGTCCCAGGTAAAGGGCTGGCTTCATTTTAATTTCTCAGAATGGTGACAGGGAAGCCTGCGTGCTTGGAAGTTGAGCCTTGTTGACTTTTAATGCACAGCTATGACCTTCGTTCAAAGTTGAGACTAAGACTCCAGGGTTCTGTCTTCCAAGCCTCTATCCCTCTCCTGGCAAAGCTGGAATGACAGAAACTTGCCACCCTGAAGGACAGAGGATGTCAGCAGGGGCTGAGGATGGCAAAGGGTAAAAATGTCAGAAGAGCTGGTGGTGCAGACAATGGCTTCAGGCCATGTCACCCCCATAGAGCTAGGCAACCTCCCTTTCCCATCTGGGGTTGAGTATCCCCATCTCTGTTCTGTTCTGTTTTTCCTTTCTTCTTGTCCCCTCAAGCTCCTCATCCTGCTGCTGCTTTTTAGTAGGGTATCACCACCAGTATCCTGGATTCCTCAGCCCTTGCTTATCCCTGGTAACTGAGCTTGGCACTTACCACACAGTGTTTCTATCTTCTCAACAGCCTGACCCTAAGAGTGCTGTATTTGTTCATTTTATATTACTATAATGAAATACCAGAGGCAGGCCACTTTATAAAGAAAAGAGGTTTATTGAGCTCACTGTTTTAGGAGTCCCAGGGCATGGTGCTGGCTTCTGCACAGCCATGGTGAAGGCTTGTGGTAGATGGTATCATAATGGTGGGAATGCATGCAGGTGGGTGAGATCACATCTCCAGGGAGGAAGACAAAGAGCCTGGGGTCCCACGAGTTCTTCTGAAGGCAGTGCCCTAAGTACTTCTCCCCAAGGTCCCACGTCCTCTGAACCTCACTGCACTGAGGTTTAATCTCTCAACACAGAGCCTTTGGGACACACTCCGACCATATTCAAATCACAGCAAGTGCTGAAACCAAACTTCTAGAAAATTTCTAGAGCTCTGATTTCTCAAATTCCTTCCTCACGAGCTACATATTCCTTTGCTATTGTAATTTACTAAAGGAGACCAAGTCCTAGAACTATTCTAGCAAATCCTCCCAGAACAGTCCAGACCTCCACGCAACTGTGTCATCTGGAACTCTGTCAGCCATTTCCACCTGTGAATTCTCAGTAGCATTAACATGGGAGTTGGGAGACTAGAAGGGCCCCAGTGGGACCAAAACCACGGGCTGAATGTTTACACATCCCATTCTTGGGGAACCTGGTAGTGAAGGATAGCTCACTCATTTCCCCAGGAAGCAAAGCGCTCTATGGGGTTGTCTCTCTTCTCTAGGCCCTGCAGGCATAAAAGGAGAAAAGGGAAGCCCTGGACCAGCTGGCCTCAAAGGAGCTCTTGGACCAGCTGGCCCTAAAGGGGACCCAGGACAGAAAGGTAAGACACGACTTCTGACACCGCGGGTTCCTAGGAGGCAGGGCCTGCTTTAAGGTTAAGGGTTTTAAGAACCAATGTGGATGGAGGTTTTTTATTCAGTTGATAAGTAAGGTGCTAGGGATGGCCGTGGTCACTGAGCACAGCACTGTACAAAGCACAGACCTGTGTTCCAAGAGGCAGACCTACAGTCATGCACGCAGTTTCCATCAGTGCCAGGCCACTCCAGATAGAGTCCCCAACCGACTGAATCCCTCCATGGTGGAGGTGCCTCATTCCAGCCATGTTGTTTACTGCTCAGATGTCCGTCATTAGTCCAACTCCTAGCCTCCCTGCTGTAGCTGAGGCCCAGCCTTCTTCTCAACCATGGATGCTGGTGGCACATCAAGTCCTCGTGATGCGAGGTCACAGGCAGAGCTGGAGGAAAGACTGGCCTCCCATTCTTCCCGCCCACTGCAGGCAAAGGAGGGCGAGGGGCATTCCGACTGGGTTCCCTCAAACTGTGTGGGTTTTCTCCTCATGACAGGATCTTCTGGGCAGGAAGGAGCAAAGGGAGAAAAAGGTCAAAAAGGTAACTGATATTTCGATCCCCCTTAATTTGGGCTTTCAAATCCATTCAGTATTGGGAAATTGTGTCTGCTGTTGGTGGGGAGAGCTTGGTCCTCAAGCAAATTTCTCATCTTTAGGAAAACTACTGGAATCTTCCAGAAGCCCAGGGCAGCCTCCTTCTTCTTCCTCCTTCCTTCCTCCTTCTTCTCCCCTTCCTTCCTCTTTCCTCCCTCCCTTCTTTCCTCTCTCCCTCCACTTTCTCCTTCCTTTCCTTTTCTCACCTTTTTTTTTCTATCTACAACATGTGGCCAGGCTAGTGGTGCAACCAGGTCCCTGTTCCTATGGCCTGGTACCCAAAGGTCCAAGTGCATGAAGGATGCATGCCAGGTGGTGTTACAGTCAAAATGTGACAAGCAAGACGAGGGACTCCTTTTCTGTCCTCCAAAAATGAGCAGGAAGACCCCATTGTGGCACAGGCCTAGGGGCCTCTTCACCTCCCCTGTGCCTGTGTCCCCTCTAGGCACATCCTTTGCCAGTGCTAGGATCGTTGGCGGCAGCACCCGAGGCCGGGCTGAAGTTTTCTATAATGATGTCTGGGGGACAATTTGTGATGATGGCTGGGACAATTCTGATGCCACCGTCTTCTGCCGCATGCTGGGTTTCTCCAGGGGAAAAGCCATTAGCAATTATGGAGGTGGTAAGTGACCCATTAGCAGGGGCCTCTTTCTCCAAAGTGGTGTGTTGACTCCCTTGGGTGACAAGCCCTCAGTGTGGCTGGGGTTAAAAGAAAAGTATCGGTTCAAGCAACTGGAAAGTTCTGCAGCTCAAGGCTCCGGGCTCACCTCCTCCTAGCCTGGCCACCCCTGCTGAGAGATGTCATCTCTTCACCAGCAGTGACAATGAAGGCTTTAGGGGGCTCTGGCTGCCCTGGCTTGGGTCAGTGTCCATCCAACCCAGAGTTAGAATGCCACATGTGGCCAAAGAAGGGAGAGAAGATGGAGGACAGTGTGGAAACCAGAAGCCTGGGCTGCCCAGTAGTCTTGACTGAGAACATCTTTAAAGAATAGGGAAAGAGAAGAGAAAACAAGTCACAGGGGGGACTTAGCAACATCCAGGAAGATGTGCTGAGATCAGCTCATGTATTTATTTATTTTTTAATTTCAGCCATAGGTCAAACCTTCAGCAAAGGACTATGTCCCCGGCTGGGCCCCTTTCTTTGGCCATCAAAGTTGACCCAGCAGGGATCTTGCTCCCATCCCTAGATTCTCTCCACCTCTACCTCACTTCAAAGTGCATACTTGCTTTTTAATCGGAATCCAGTTGGATTCCACATAATACACATTTTCCTCAGATTACACCTTGGCGTGTGACGGGCTATGGTCAGATAGCTGCTGTCAATTTGATTGGAAGGAAGGGTTGGCAAAGGTGCAGAGGTTTCACAAGCAGTGAAGAAAGGTAGACAGGGCAGCAGTGAGTGAGCAGGGCAGAGAGCCAAAGCTGCTGTGTAGATTGAATGTTAAATGTCTGGACGAGAGCTGGCTGTGATGGCTCACACATGTAGCCCTATCTACTTGGGAGGTTAAGTAGGAGACCATGGGCCGAGGCCCGCCCTGGGCAAAAACAGGAGACTCTAGCTGAGAAATAACTAAAGCCAAAAAGGGCTGGGGGCATGGCTTAAGTGGTAGAGTGGGGGCCTAGAAGGTATAAGGCCCTGAGTTCAAACCCAGAACTGCCAAATAAATAAATATTATAGAAGGCTTTTAACAAAGGATGGAGAATCAGCTGTTATAAGAGATCACACCAGCTGTTAGCACATTGGCCTGGTTGGATATGGGAGGCCCTGGCAGTCCACCCAGATGGGAGCCTCTGGGGCCCAAAATGTCTGCTTTGCTCCGACTATAACCTACTCTCCTCTCCCCCATGCTTCTCAGGCACTGGCAAGATCTGGCTAGATGATGTTGCATGTCAAGGGACAGAGTGGTCACTATGGAGCTGCAGCAAGAGTAGCTGGGGCTCTCACAACTGCAACCACAGTGAGGATGCAGGTGTGGAGTGTAGTTGACCTTGGAGCCCTGAGGTCACCAATCTGTCATCCAAGTGTCCTTGGGCTCCATCCACATGGAAAGAAAGGCTCTCTGAGGTTCTCCTGGGACTGGCTGGGCAGCCTCTGCACAGGGATCATTAATAAAGCTCAAAATACTACCTGGTGACGTCATTGGCTGCGACTGAATGTCACTGAGCTAGTACCTGCCATCCCTAACTGATGGCTCACCCACCTCGGTATCTCCTGCACTTCACTGAAGTCCCACGTGCCACACACACACACACACACACTGGGACAGCCTCAATGTACAGGCCAGTGGGTGGGGGCCATGAGAGTGGAGAGAGTGAATGTCACCTGTGGCCCGAATCAGTCTTGACTGTCCCTCTAAACATTCAGCATCTCTCTGAGTGAGTGCCACCCAGCATGGGGGCTATCACCCCATCTTTGGCTGGGCAGAAGATGACAAGGCTAGCTCACAGGTGGTACCATGTTGTGGGAGAAATGTGAATTATACCTTTCAGCCCAAAGATTAGTCCCCAGTAGGATGTGAGTGATCCAGAAATACAGGGGCCTTTGTGGGTTTTATCCACCCCAGGAGGAGCTCAGAAAATATTTACTAAATAAATGGTCAAATTAAACTAACTGGGTGCAGGACTCAGCCTGTCTGAGCAGCAGGCTCCTGTCCCCTGTGTCAGTCTTCTCTGGGATTCACACTTTCTCCTGGAATATACACTCTGCAAGTGCAGTCTCATGTTTTCTCATGGAATGTGGAATCTGAGAGTGAGTTGCATGCATGACGTGACTCCACAGGACCATTGGTCCCTCCCTCCTGACTGGTTTGGGAGCTCAGCCTCAGCGCATTAGGAAAATTTGCCCAGGGTCAATTGCAAATGACAGAGCCAAGGTAAGAACCCAGGAAGGAGCAGACAGAAGGGCCCACAGGTGGAGTGGCCAAAGCATATGGCTACTGCTCAACCCCGGGCACAGAGACTCTCCTCCTTTGGAACACCACAGGGCTCTTCCCCAGGAGAGCTCATTCGTCACCCAGAAGCAATGACGATGATTCCAGAGGCCAAAGACACAGGATCCCTGTCCCTGGCACAGGCAAGCTTTGGCCTTGGGGTGGGGGTGGGAGTGGCAGGAAAGCCAGTCTTTGTTTGGCAGATCCTTAAGGATGCTCCTTTATCTGACACGTGGGATGAGGAGGTAGTAGGTCAGAGAAGATGGAAGATACTGGGAGCGCCATTGGGGTTCCTGGGTTCACTGCCTATTTTGCAAATGAGTAATTAAGGGTCTTACTAGCACAATCCCCCTGCAACTTTGATGCCTGCTCCAAGACGCTTTTTGCCCCAAGAAGGGAAAGGGCAGACACTACCTAAAACCATGTCACCCCGCCATAGAATTTCAAAGTTGACTTCCCGATCCTTGCAAATCAGAGCCAGGAAAATAGAGCAGAAAGTGGACCTGATTTTCCAAGTGTTTTTTCATTTGCTGATCAAAAGCTGAGCCTGACTGACTTGATCCTGGCTGTCTGAGTAAGGGAAATCTGAATGGAACAAACAGAAATGACCTGTGGGGGACCCCCCCAAACATACACAGAATGGAGCAGAGCACCCCCCAGAAATGGATGGGAGGGTCCTCCCTGCAGCCTCTGGCCCAGCTCTGCCATCCTCATTCCCTGCTCCACATCCCTCCACTCTAGACTGATGGATGTGGGTGGGGGAATCACTCCTACCCTGGGAACTCCATCCATTCCTAGGGATGCTCACTTATGATGATATAGGTGACCTGGTCAGAGAAAGTCAGGGGAGGAAGGGTGGATACTAAGTGGATAAAGAGAGAGGGGTCCATGATCCTATGTGGATAAACTGGCATGTGCAAAGGTCCTGTGGCAGGAACAAAGTGAATAATGGGGGGCTGAGAAATGCTGGTGGAACTGAAGCTGAAATGCAAGGGGAACACAGTAGGAAATCAAACCTTACAGGGTCTTCTACAACACTTAGAGGTTGTTTGTTTGTTTGCTTTTCTTAATTCTAAGAAGAGGAGAAAACCCACAGCAGTGTTTGTCATGGAGGAATAGGAAAACACTTTATGGAGTAAAGGTCATGGCTAGATGTCCTTCCAGAACAGTTGTCAGCCACTCTTCTCCCTAAAGGGACTTCTCGGCCCCCACCACAGCAGTGACACTCTGAGATGTGGCCCTGGTCCAGCTGGCACCCAGCACTTCCGGCCCATGACTTGGATCTTCAGCACTGCACAATTCATTCTCCAGCCTCTGCTTTGAGGGCAGGCCTCTCTCCTGAGCCCCAGTCCTCCATATCCAGGTATCCACCAGCTAAAGCCTGCCTCACCTTCGATACCTCCTGCTCCTCATCCCAGCCACTGGCTCCCTCCATCCAGTGCTGAGAGGGAAACTGAGTTTCAAACACCATGTATCTCCCTCTCTTAGCCTCATCCCACCAGGCAGCAAATCCCACTAATTCTGCCTCCCAAATCTCTCTCCTATCCACCAGTTCTATCTTTGCTGCTATCATGGCCCAGCACACAGACCAATGGCCTGCATGCTTGAAACGTCTCCTGATTAGTCTCCTCCTCCACACTCCACCAACTGTGCATTCTGCACACAGCAGTAGGAGGCACTGCCTACAGACTTCCTTGGCTCCCCATTCCCTAAGGAAGAGGAACAAACTCCTCCTCTGAACTTACAAGGAAGTGCTGCCTGCAGTCTCTGTTCATGCAGGATTTCTTATGTGACAGTACAGATAGAAAGCTCTTGAGGCATGAATGAATGAATGCTTGACTGGTGAACGAATGGTAGATGGAATGAGCACTCAGCTCAGACTTAGTTTCTCTGTTCTGAAATTGCCACCTAGCTGTCCCTCAGTTTTTTCCCTAAAACTCACATGTCATGAAATTTTCTTGGAAGTGTCTTTTATGTTCCAAATCAAGTCCCAGGGTGGGCTTTGCTGTACCTGCTACTCTCCACATTTATGTGACAAAGGCTTTCCCAGATTGAAGGAATAGCTTTCTTTCTAATTCTCTGCCTTTTATATTTTATGAAGTTAGCTTTCAAAACAACATCACGGGGCCTAAGTTTTCCTAGGTGTATAGTCAATTTTCAAATGTCCTATTTCTCTGCTGCCTCAACATCCCCATAACGGGCTTCAAGCTTCCCCCACCCTCCCTGAGTGGTCAGGCATACATGTGATAATACAGTTGGCACCTGCCTTAAAGTTCTGCCTCCTGCTCCCTATGACCTAGCAATGTTCAAGGGCACCTAGGAAACCCTCCATGCCCTTGGCCTGTGTGCCCAACCTAACTCCCACAGAAGGGGGTCCTCTAGTGAGGATGGCAAAGTTACCTGGCACAGGACAGCTATGGGAAGAGTGCAGAACAGGAGTAATGAGGCAGCCTGCCAACACACAGAGGGACATCTGTGTCCTCTGGAGTATCATGCAGAGCCCAGAATAGGCATACAAATGTGCCTTTAATTTTCATAAATTCAACTGCTTATGGTTAGAATCATTAAAAGTAAAAGGCAATTTAAACAGTAATCTAGGACTGGGGACATAGGCTCAAGAGGGAGAGTGCTTGTCCAGCGAGCACACGGCACTGAGTTCAATCCTCATACCCAAAATATAAATAAATAAAAAGAAAAAGAAGCAGTCTAAAGCTATATTTTCACACATCTCTTTTATTTATACTGTATATGATATGTCTATATGTCCACAATAGGCCACATGGTGCACAGACAAACAGCAAGTGCTGTGCCTCACGGATGAGTAGGAGATAGTTTGACTGCAAGCGATTTCTTTATGCGCTGAGATTGGCTTCTGTCATAGAGAAAATGTGGAAAGAGCCAGTGGGCAACAGTGGAGGCTGGGCTATCTAAATGACAGCGCAGAAAGTGCATTAGACTCCCGCTCCACCATCAGCCATCTTGCAGTGGATATCTAGAAATGCGGAGGAAAAAGTCATGAGATGTCTATTTTAAGAGAAAAACGTTATAAAACAGAGGACGACAATCGGATGAAGACAGTGTCCTCCTCCCTCACCACCCCCACCCCAGATTCAGTCAAGCACCAAAGACCCACCGTCTCCTGGATGTTTCTGGGTCTCTGCTTGTCCCCAACCCACCTGCCCATCCCCCACCTCCACGTGGCCCAAGCCATACCATCAGTGCCCACTCCGATGGTCTCTCTCCCTTCTGTTCTTGCTCCTTCCTATCTGTTCATCCAAAACAGTCATGACAACTTAAATCTTTTCACTTTCCTTGTTCAAAACCCTTCAAAGACTACCCAGTGCCGTTACAAGTAAGTCCGTCCTCCCAGCCATAGTGTAAGCAGGTCCTTGTCACCTGGCCTCTGCTGGTCTTTCAGCCTTTGAATTGCCACTTTCCACCCAGTCAGAACTTCCTTTCCAGCCTGGGATTTCCATCCATGATAGCCATCATGCACCATCCCCATCCTCTGAGCCCCACACCTGACTTCTGTGGCGAGTGGGCGGGGGGGGGGACCTAGGGAGATTTAGGGGAGCTTCAAGTGGCCTCTCTCCTCTCTGAGAGCAGGAACCACATTATCTATCTGGCTGCACCCCATTGTTGAGCACAGTGCACAGCACACAGTGTGTGTATGTATTTAAATGAATTATATTAAAAATGTACATGTTTAGGGAAAATTTGCTGGAAGGAATAGAAGGAAATTCACCAAAATGTTTGTCTTTGGTAGTAGAATTCTGATTGATTTTTCTTTCATTTGTTATATTTTCCTATGGTTTTATGGTTGGCTCCCATGAAATCATGGTATATTTTGGTTATATTCTGGTATATTCAGAATATATTTATGACTGGAAAAAAATATTGTTAAAGCAAACAAGGAAAGTACAGGATGCATCATCAGAGAGGCCAGAATCTGCCCTTCCTGAGCTTAGACTCCCAGTCCTTGTCCCCTTGGGTCTGTTGTGTGTCACTAGTGTGCAGGCCGCACAAAGGATGCAGGGGACAAAGTCCAGAGAACACC